GATCCATTTGGTCTCATTTTTCTAAAATTAAAACATACTACTTTTAAAACTCAAACTATATATCCTTTATATTTAAATTAAATCTCAAAAATTATTTTCATATATCATATTTTTCAAAATTAAATCTAATCGAAAAAAAAAGTTGACCGACACCTACCTACCTCTTTCTTATGTTATTAAATACCTTCTATGAGTTGTAGAATGATATCAGATACTTTCTAAAGCAACTTTATTTTAACAACCTCAAAACTTCATGGATGGAGAAACCTAAGAAAATAAACCCAAAGGAGAAACATCAGCCCAATCCCAATTTATTTAGAATCAACTAAGATAAACCTAAGAATGTTAAAGAAGAACATACAAAAGCAGCCTCATACAGGCATGCACCATAAGCCAAGATGGCTCAAACCTACTTTATGCTAACCATGAATGGTATATTTTTATGAAATATTGGTATAAATTTAAATTCCAACAATCAATTAGGTTGAAAATTAAAAAAAAAACTTCACTTTCTCCATCATCGTTAACCTTATCATAATTATTAAGGGTTAAGGGTTGACTTTATGGAAAATCGTTCCACTTTCTTTTCCGCTAAGAACAAAATTAGGTGCTAAACTTGTTTTGCATAAGTAGCTATACAACTAAATTTCATGTCACATTTCTTCTACCTCTTTCTCGCTCATTATCCTTCAACAGTAGTACAATTTAACCGTAAAATTGGTGTTTTTCTTAATTTTTTATCGTCTATGGTCAAACCATCAAAGTATATTGTCTATTTTAAAGATGTCAAAAATTGACCAGATACACCAACACGACTCGAACTCGACTCAAAAAATCCGGATTAAGGTTGACCCGAATATTTTTCTAGTCTTGTTCAGGTCTGAGAATTCAACACAAAAATTATTTGTTGGGTTCTGCATGAACCCAAAAAACCAAATAAACACGAAAAAATTGATTGTGCTCTTAACTCTTATACCATTGCTTCTGGATTTTTCGAACTCGACTCGAAAAATCTGGATTAGGGTTGGCCCGAATATTTTTCTAGGCGTGTTCAGGTCTGAGAATTCAACACATAAAAATTACTGGTTGGGTTCTGGATGAACCTGAAAAACCAAATAAACACGAAAACACGAAAACACGAAAAAATTGATTGTACTCTTAACTCTTATACCATTGCTTATCATATATAAATAGAGAATTTTTTTAATTTGTAAATTGTTATTTGTTAAATGTTAAAAGTATATTTTTTAATAAAAAATTGAGCTGGCAAGTTAAACGAGGGTTCAATTTGAGTATTTCAACCCAGTTATTATTCAGGATGGGTTCGGGTTGACCCAATTCGGACCGAGTAATTTTTTGGTCCGAACCGACCAGACCCGCTGACCTGAATTGACATCCTTAGTCTATTTTCTTGCTTAGAAGAATGCAATTCCTACCATCCCAATAATATAATTGTTTTTTTTTAATCTATAATACCTAGTTTGACCACAAATCCATCATAGCAATCTGATTTATCGCTCTCAACTCAATTATCAACAATGAATGACTTCCTAAAAAATACTCAAATACATACAAAATAACCGCCCACATCCCAATTTAATAGTATGCCTTTAAGTTCATGACATCAAATAACTTCATCAGCCTTAAGTATAGAAATTATATGCTCATCTATACCAACATTCTACTATACAATAAATCCAAAATAGTTGTACCTATAACACTTTACATTATGTAAGTAATATTAGCTAACAAATATTAATAATACACTCACAAGAATTGCATAGCATAAAGCATTACCAAGCCTTTTTACTTTCTAAACATTCTTTTCTATTTCTCCCGCTTAAAATTTATTTTCAATAAAAATCTCACAAATTATAATTATGTCATCTACATAAAATGCATCACAATGCACCTAACTTTCAATATTCTTTATAAGCAACTTCATAGCCAACTTCATATTGATATTGACAAAATTCTACAATAATTAAAAACTCTTTAGCTTGCCCTGCAACTAATTAAACTAATACTATTCAATCTCATATCATGCATATCTTTAATAAACTAATATCTTTAATTCTACAATAATTCCACCTTCCCCGTCTCCATTTTATTCATTCATTTGGCAAATTTCAGCTACTAAAAACAGTGATAACATAAGGTCTTCTACCACATTATAACTTCAGCTTATTTAAATTTTGGGAAATTTACATACATACCACAAAATTCTTATATATTTACATGTCTAACACCTAAACTTCTATATTTATATTTATAACACTTTGGTGTGATAAAACTTTTCATGAAAATATGCATTTAACTTTTAAAGTAAGTGATAGTGATATTTTTATGTGACACTAAGGATTTGAGTGCTATGCATGAAAATATTAAAGTTTGGGTGTTAGATATGTAAATAAATAAGAATTGTGTGGCATGCACGTAAATGTCGCTTTAATTTTTTATAGGTTTTATTTGTTAACATAATCATTAAAAAAATTTGGACAATTACGCTAACATGGTGGAGTTTATCACCTCTGCTTTATTAGTGCTGACTAAACATAAATGGATGAAAAAAATTTTGCAAAATGATTTATTAAAATTAAACATGATAAAATTAATCTCACATACCACTTTTAAGAAAGTGAATCTTCAAGAACAACATCACCTAGGACTTTATCATGTCAATTATAAGTAGGAACTTCTTTGTGATTAAAAACTTTTTAGAGCCTATTAAGTTGGAATGTTTATGAGTATATATCTTGTAATGTAGTGCATATGATATCAGTGATAATCTCTACTATTAGTCTGCTCAATATCTAGAGGACCTTAATAATTTTAGAATTTAAAGTTCATAGACACCTTTTTTTATACTTTAAAATGTTAAGCATACATTTCTCATGTGTATGCAGTAAGGGACTTAATTCAATATGTAGCTTTTAGTCTTATACCAATATTAGGGTACCTTTCACTCAATCTAACTCATTAGGATATGTTGTAAATAAAGTTTTTTTTTGGGCTATTTTCTAAAATTAATCTTCCTCTACGTTCCGGTGCCATTTCAACACAATCACACATAAATTTAGGTGAACATAGCCATATTTCTTAGCATTTCATCATCAACTTAAGAAAATGGATGGGACAGACCAAAAAATTTTATTTAATGAATGTCAGATTATACGCCCATTCTAAAGAACTTGAAGGTATAAAACTCGGACAGCCATGCAAAATCCTAAAAAGCCAAAAAATTATAAGAAAACATTAAAGACTTAAACGTTGCTTTCAAGATAGATATGTGCAACCTCATTGATAAACAGATACAATATAAAGAGAAAATTGCTAAGTATAACACATGCCAAAAACAAATACTTCTTTCTTTTAAAAAAGATATCATTCTACAATGACAATGCATACACTCATAAAGATATTTATTGGCATAAAAAGAAGCATTTTGTGAAGCAAACTAACCTTAGATAAAGGCTTCCCCTTCTCAATGACTAACACATTAAGATGAGGAGCTAATTCTTTTGCCCTTAGTGAAGCATAGATTCCAGCTGCGCCGCCACCCGCCACCAACAATAAAGGTTCACTCCTCTACAAAAATATAGTCAATCCTCCCAAACAATTTTATAAAATTATAAGACACAAATAAATGCAAAAAAAAAAATATGGACAAAACAACAGACTGGTTACAAATATAATTGGCTCGGCCATCCAGAATTAATCTTCGCAGAAAGGGTAAAAGGCAAAGTACATCATCAACATAGCTTAAACACTTGGCTAGTTTCAACTTGTCTTATTTTTCTAACTAACGTAAGCAATGATTTTAAATCTTTTAAAAATCATTTAACATCAAATTAATGAAGGAACATTTTAAATGATGACTGACATCATTCAAAATGATTTATAAACATTCAAAAAAAAACAATATTTTTTTTTTGAATTCATGTAAATTGATGAAGACATCAAAAAGGCATGCATTTTCAAGTCTATTAACCATACTACGTGAAAATTAAAACATAGATTGACAATACTAACTAAATGATTCATACATCGCACTAAGCAGACCCAAGCAATCAAAGCAGTAACAATGTATACCAATATTTTTATTGCAATGCCTATCTTGAGCCAAACTATTTTCTTAAATTTAATTTCGAGCACAAGAAGTTCAAAGTAGGACTTTAATCTGTTGAAAACTATTCAATCAATGATCTCTTCAAGGACCAAAAGAAAAGCTTCCATTGAATTAGAAAATAGAATTATAGCAGTCATAAATTTACCGTATCGCAGATGATGAAATGAATGGCTATATGAATATTTTTGATAAAGTTGGAACTCCGCATAAGAAATTGCGCTTGATATATAAGAAACTCCATTCAAAGAGAACACTTGTGTTAATTTCAAGTACAACCTTAATAGAATATCCCATGTAATTATTCAATTGGCTTCCCAGTTTCTAGCTCTAGGCATGCATACATGATTTCAGGCCAAGCTCATAAAAATAAATAGCTAAAAAAGCATTGCTAGCCAACTTAATGTTTTAGCCACAAACTTATGGTAAATTTTAATATTTTAAATAACTTTCTCCAAAATTAAATAAATCATTATTTCAAATAGACTACAGAGGAACAGAATACAGTAATGCAGATGCTTCATTAAACCTCCATATGCATTTAATAACCATGTCTAAAGTGTGGAAATTTTAGAAGAAAGAATTATAGAGCAATTTCCTTCTATCTTCATTCAGCTCAACCTGATTCACATTAGAACTGTGATTTTGTGCACAAATATGCATGCAAAAATAAGTATTTAAATTAACCAACAATATGGAAAGTTTGAGCTCTTTAGACCAGTAAAGCAAAATGCAATTTCCTTCTATCTTCTTTTGTGTTGATCTATGCACTTGCACCTATCTGAGAATTATTTACCAAAATTCCACGCCAGGGTGAAAGGAATATCAATATTACTAAAATGGAAGGGAATATAATAATTGGACAAATTCAAAGTTTGATTTACCCGATTGAATGCTTGATCTAAAAAATCACTCTGCCTCCATGAAAAATTCATCAAGTTGATCTTATTTTGAAGTTTGTTGATCTAAAAATTGATAGAGCGAGATGTCTAAAGGGTTAAATACTGCAGAAGCTTGATCGTATTAATTGGATCAATGCACAACATAACTGAGATAGACAAGGAGAAAATGGTGGATACAACTTCACACATGTGGCAGGATGTTTATGCATATCCATCTATCCAATTCTTCACCAACAGAGCAAGCCTACCTTCCACTTTTACTTTCTACCAAAGATCTTTATAAATCTGTCAAAGCAAATAACTACTAAAAATATCGAGTAGGAGAATGTCTTAAACCTCTAACTAAACTCATGCGAGTCTACAATTTTCCTCTGCCCACAAACAAGCACCTAATAAGACAAAAAAGATCAAATAATTTTGAACATAGAAGATGGCAAAGTTTTCCTAATTAGTGAATCATTCTATCACATTCCTGATACAAAAGTTGTGTAGACCTATGCATCTTCTTCACATAACATTGTGAAGGTTGAACTTCTTTCTTGAATATTAATTTGACACCCCCCCCGCTACAATACCGTGACTCTCTCAAGCGCGGGAGACAAGAGACGAGCCGCAACCCTCGTTTTCCTTCCTTTTATGTTTTTTTTTTTCTATTATCTTTCATTTCTTTTTATTCATTTTTTATATATGTGTGTATTAGGGTTTGTATTAGTAATTTTTAATGTTTTCGTTTAAGACAGCCATCGATGCTCTCCCTACAAGGCTTATATACAAGGGTTTGTGGGGTTATCTGGTTGTACCCCGCTCCCGAGATGGTGTTTATCTTCCCTATTCCCCTTATGCAATCTCCCCACACTACTCCTTTTGATTGTTTCCTATTGGAGCTATCAGAAAAAGTTGTTGATGCTATTCTTCGTGCAATTTCTACATTCCAACCAACATTTTATGTGATTCCAACGCTCCTGCTTGTCATCATTGATGTACAAGCCATCATTAATCCTTTTCCCTTCCCACCTACCTGTGTACAGTCATCCCAATCCAATTCCAACTTGTTGTCGCACCCTCCACCGCCTCCAACTTGATGCCCAACACCCTCTGTTTGCTGCCACACCCTCCCACAACCCAGTTGTCTGTTGTGGCACCTTGTTGCAGCCCCCCGGTTGCTGTCCAGCTGCCTCTCCACTTCCCCGGTTTGCTGCCACACACTCCAGCAACCTTCTATTCAATGTCCAGCTGACAAACCACGTTCCCCTCACTACCGCAATCCTTCCCTACCACCTACAGTTCTCGGTTTCCATTACCTCAACACGCAACTCGCCAAAGTCAATCCTCACCCTAGAGAATCTTTTGTCCTTGTGCCATTTTTTTCTTATCTTTAAGGGCCCGTTTGGGGGCGCGTTTGGGAAGCGGCGGCGTTTTGAAAACGCCGCCCTTCCGTTTGGAAATTCCGTTCGCATGACAAGTTTTTAAAACGCGTCGTTTTAATACCGCTATTTCCTTAAGGACGGGGTAATCCGGTTAGGGGCGCCGTTCCGCGTATGCTTCTCGCGTTTAGGTTGTTTTTCCCGTGTTGTCCTTCCCGTTTCTCCCCCTTGCCCTCGCCCTTCCCGTCTCGCCTTCGGTTTCGAGCTTGCCTGAAGCTGTGATCCGTGATATGAGGTATTTTTTTTTCGACCCCTCACTCTTGCCCTACCCGATATCCGTCTCCTTCCTTCCCGGAGGCCGTGTTCGATCTCTGTCACAGTTATTTCTGTTCATATGGTGGTTATAAAAGAATCAGTACAAATTCTTGAGCTTTGTTATTCTTATGGCTTATTTTTTCATTTGTTTGGGTCGGTTTTGGTCCCTACAGTGCTGGATTTCGGTTTTGGTTAAGATTTCATTCGATCAGGGAGCTCTGTTTGATCCTTTTTCTAACCATCTAAGCAAAACCTTGAATGGTTATAGAATTAGGGATTTCGGTTTTGGTTAAAAGCTTTGATTCGAACTCACGGAGCTCTGTATGTATTTTTGTAATTTTTTTCATCTTCTTATCGTTGAGCTTTTAATTTTGAAGGGGCATTTCCATATATGCGAATGCAAAATTTGGGCCTTCATGGTTTATCTTTGAATGCAGATTATGCAGAGCATTTGCATACTGATCATATAATTCTTATGTATTTACTTTTTCCACCTTACGTGGTCAATTTCGGCTATGTTCGATCCTTTTCTCACCATCTAAGCATAAACTTGAATGGTTATAAAATTGGGGATTTCGGTTTTAAAAGCTTTGATTCGAATTGGGTAGCTGAAGCACATATGAGAAGCAATGGAAAATTCATTTCTCTATTTTTATTTGCTACATGAAATGCTGAATTTGGGACTTCATATATATATATATATACATTGTTGGCTCGGTTTTGGTCCCTAAATGAATTTGGGACTTCATTCCGCAGCTTTATTACTGTTATGCCTCCCTAAATAAATGCTGGAAGTTATTTGGACATTTGCTGGCTCGGTTTTGGTCCCTACAGGGCTGGATTTGATGGTTTCAGTTGTATATTTAAACATGATGGGGTGGAGTTATGTTATGGGAAGGATTTAAAGGGTGTGTGTGTGAAGTATGAGTGAGTGGATTGACTGTGAGCGTGAGGGAAAGATTGTGCAGTTCGTGTTAAGTGGATGCGTTCATTTCAGCATTTTTGCTGAGAGCTTTTCTCTTCTACTTATATCACAACAATATATATACATAGATAGATAGATAGATAGATAGAATTAACACATGCTGGATATTCTATTCTTCTTTCATCCAACTTTCAGCTCTGATGTGCTGATATTTCCTTCATGTGTAAATATACATCTTAAACATTTGGGACTTCATTATGCAGCTTTACTACTCTTATGGCTCCCTAAATAAATGCTGGAAGTTATTTTTACATTTGTTGGCTCGGTTTTGGTCCATACAGGGCTGGATTTGATGGTTTCAGTTGTATATTAACACATGCTGGAGCATAATATATGGGGTGGAGTTATGTTAGGGGAAGGATTTAAAGTGTGTGTGTGTGAAGTTTGAGTGAGTGGAGTGACTGTGAGCGTGAGGGGAAGATTGTGCATTGAGTATTTAGTGGATAAGTTCATTTCAGCGTGTTTAGTGAGAGCTTTATTTGAGCATTTTTCTTCTACTTATAACACAAATACATAACAATGCTATCAAACACCAAATTCCATCTTCTAAACCAACAAAAATACACAGGTCTGGTTAGCAATAGTTATTGGTGATTCGGAAATTTACATATATACCACACAATTCTAATTGACTTTGACAGAGCAGATGAGGACAGACGTAGCCAGAGTCTGAAATTAAACATTTTAATATTTCTGATTCTAGTTGTACTCGTATTTGTACTTTTTTTAGTTATCTTGGTACTCATGAGGGTGTGAGTAATGTATGACATCTTCTACTTATGATCTGTGATGATTTCATGTTTCTGCATATGATCCAGTACTATCAGTAAGCTATTCTGAATAAGCTGCCCCAAACAGTTCTATTACAAAGGGGCATGAATGTCATTTAATCATCAATAAGCCATCTTGAATAAGCTGCCCCAAACAACAAGACAGATTATTCTGATAATCTGCAGATTATCAGATTATCAGAATAATCTGCTTATCAGCAGATTATTAATAATCAACAGCTGCGCCAAACAGACCCTAAGTGTCTTATTTGTAACCACTTTGAATTTCAGCAATAAAATTATCATTTTGTTGTGATTTTTAGGTTAACTCGGGTATCACAATTTGACAAACTCATCCCAAAAACATATAGTTTTGTAAAATCATAGTCAAGTCCTTTGATGGTTATATATACAAAGAAAAAATTGCACTGTCGTCACTTCGTCCAAGTTACGCCGAATAATCATAAATTTCATATTTAGTAAACAATTACAACAAGCAAACAATATTATGTGTAAAGCTCCAAAAAAAATTTCTTGTTCATAAACAAGTCAAGTTTCGATCATTAAAAAACTCAGATTTGATTCGTTCATCAAGTAATAAGTCAAACACAATCAAATTTTTTAAGCTTGTTTTTTAAATAAGTAGAACATGAACAAACTTCTGTTTGATCATGTTCGTCTTTATATATATATATATATATATATATTTCAGAAAGAAATGGTCGAAGGCTATGATACGAGCCTCGACCATCCCTCATGCGCCTATAATTCAAGTACGAAACCCTAAAACCGGGGGAATCGAACCCCAGACTAGAAGGGAATTACAATATATATATATATATATATATATATATATATCAATCAACTTCTACTTTATTTTAACTAAGCAAAAAGTATAAAAACAAGAACAATTAAAAACACAACAATGTTATTTTTTCTTTAATCTCGTATCGTTTGTGCATTTAACTGTATACTTCTTAAATTGTGGTGCAAAGCTTAAATATTTGAAATTGCAACTCATGTGGGTCTATGTTATATATATCACGAGTTTTTGTTGCTGGAATTATCAGACAAATTCTTCAAGGTCATTCTTAAAAGCAAGTTAAGTTACAATCTTATTTTTTAAGCTCGATGAAACTTATAATTGGCTCTTGATTGGTTCTAATTTTAACAGGCCAAACACGAAAACATTTCCCACAAACAGTTTTAAACACAGGCCAAACAAGATTACATCAAATTTCTAACAAGCCCAACACTAACAAACTCCCAACTTGCTCTAGTTTGGCTTATTGACACGCCTAATTACGCTGTGAATTAAACCATGTATGTCAGTGCAAGCAAAAGAAAACAGAACTATCTCAAGTTTCCATTCATTTACCAATGGACTAAAATCCCACGGCAACAAAAAAAAAAAACTAACAGGAGGTCACCTCAGTTCCACCGACCTGAGTGCTGAGTACCGAATACAATAAAGAAGAAGTCTTACGTTTCCTAAACACCGACCAGTTGAACAAAACCTTCTTCCCCTGCGAGCAAAATCGAGTCTGCGACTGGTTCTGACCAGAAGAACGGCTAGTGAAACTCCAATAAGTGAAGAACGAGGCAGTCTGACGCCCTTCATTGCGGCATTGTGTGGTGAAATGAGCGCACCACTGTCCTCCTCAAGTCACAACAAACCGTCTCACCTCAGGACACTATTGCGGAGCTCGACTTCACAGCGACCTAACAGAACATTTTGGCACGACAAATGGCCAGTTTCCACACTGGTATCAATTTGCTTGGATTGTAAAGTCTCTGCCCTAATCGACTGGCAGGGAGGGAAGCCATGGTTGTGATTATCGTCCTCCACGCAATTATATTTAGGGGAGTAAACGAGCATTTGAGCCAGGTTCAGCTGCAGTTAAAAAATATCACTTTTTTGTATTGGAGTATTCGGCTCCTCTATATTCCTAACGCAAAAAATATGTTGATATTCAACACATTTATTTAACCAGACGAACAAAAGCTATTCACAAGTAAAAACTCATTTTAACCATACCAGTCATGCAGCCTAAGGATATTAAGTATGTTGGCGTTCCGCTTGTTGTCTTTGCGAACGAATCGAACATGAGGTTCTTAATAAGCAGAACATTAACTGCTTGAGGACAACGTGTCATGTTGACAATACTAATTATTTAAGTTCAGATTATTTTTAGCCATAAATAATATAACCATTGTCTAAAATTTTAATTTTTTAAAAATAATCTTCTTCAGGAATTCATTCACAATGAAACATCACCAACATACTGCCTCTAAAGAAATTATTATTTCCGACGTTCACAGAAAATTCAATGATGTGAAATACATGATGATATGATTGGATCATCACTATTATCTAAATGTTTAGTTCATCACACGTGATAATTTTTTCTGAACTTGAGTGTCTCCAAAGTATAATTTTTTCAAAGGATATATCACTCATTCATGTAATTATATATTTAATAATTATATTTTAATTTTTATACATGTGTCATCTTAATTATACATGAAAGCATGTATTTCACTGTTTTAAATAAAATGAAATAATAATATTTTTATGTGATATGAAAATTTTGGGAAGTATGAATATTAAAAATAAAACTTATGTGTTAATTATATAAATACATAAGAATTGAGTGTATATATATATATATATATAGATATTAATTAAACGATTTATTCGCGCGCGACGACGCGAAACAAATAAATATGTTTTTATGCAAGAAAATTTTAAGGAATAAATTTGATCATGTAACATTAGTTTTTAAGAAACTGTAATGGATTAGATTCTGTACAATTAGATCTGCTGATGAATGCATGACAGCAATACGAAAATTAATGTATTTTCCTAAAAAAAACAATATTAATAATAAATATTTTGAGCGGCAATTTTATAATTAAATTAACAAAAAAAATTATAGCCCTAACTTATAAAACAAGAGAAAGTATTGCATCAGGACTCGCATGTAGAGTTACATGCGGAGTCCAATGAAATCACGTCACGTGACGGTGAAAAGAAAAAAAATAAAATCTGTCTGATAACACAAGGGAATGTTTCTCTCGTACTATTCAAGTGTTATCATATATTATTCAGGTGTTATCATATGTTATTCAGGTGTTATTGTGTGTTATTCAAGTACTATTGATGTGTTTGTTATTATGTCACCGGGAATATTCCTATAACACAATAACCCCTGAATAATACGGGGGGAATATTCTTCTATGTTGTTGGAGTGATTTTTTTTTTTTTGGTACCTCCAAATGTTGTGATTTCATTGGACTCTTGATGCAATAAATTTTCGGCCCAAATTGAAATGTCTAGCAAACTTGATGGAAAAAAAAATAGCCTATTTGGCTCAGTTTAATTTCATTTGGCTTACTGTAGGCTTTAATTATTTATAAATGAATTTATTTGATTTATTTTTGATGTATTATTGCGTAGTGAGTCCAGACTAACACAGAATTATATCACTTGTGCATTTACATATCTAACGTCTAAGCTTTCATATTTATTAATATCATGTAAAAAATTGCATTATTATTTCTTTTTTAAGTGAAACACATATTTTCATGCAAATATGTAAATATGTAAATTAAGTTGTCATTTGTCAGATATGTAAATACACAGGAATTATGTGTCATATATGTAAATTTCCAGAAATCCAATTGATTTTTATGCCTTAGTTTAAGAAAATGTTTTCATGGACAATATAAAATTTAAGATAAAATGTTATATTCATACAAATGTGATCCACTTATATAGAGAAAATTTATTTTAAACATATAATTCTAATTCATTTGAGAAAAAAAATTGTGTCGACTTATAATCTTCCTCTTATATTATGCCCATGGCAGTGTTAATCCTAGCATATGTTGTATATGCAAGACTCTGAATATGAGGAAAAAACATTACATCAGGATTCTGCACGGAGAGTTACGTGCAGAGTCTAATGAAATCACGTCATGTGGAGGTGACAGGAAAAAAAATCAGCCCGGAAACACGGGGGAATATTCCCCCGTGTTATTCAGGTGTTATTGTTTTCTCGGAATATTTCTCGCGTTATAATAACTCAATAACACATCAATAACACTTGAATAATACATAATAACACCTGAATAACACATAATAACACTTGAATAACACGGGAGGAATATTTACTTGTGTTACGGGCAAATTTTTTTTTTTTTTTTGTCACCGTCACGTGGCGTGATTTCCTTAGACTCCGCACGTAACTCTACGTGTGAAGTCCTGATGCAATATTTGTCGAATAGGAGACCTATTATTTCCAATATGTAGCTCTCGAAATAATTACTTGCAAGTCTAATATTAATTTTATAAATTCTCATATAAATTTTATGAAGATTTACATGTTTCTTAATGACTATGTAATTGCATATCTAACACCTACACTTTAATATAAATATATACATATATATAAAGATTGGGCAGAGGCAATTATACGAGCCTCCTGACCAAACTCATGTGCCACGATACACACCACCTATGTGTATGAAAAGAATCAATTCACTTTAAAATTAAAATAATAACATTTTTATGTGATATGAAATATTTGAGTGGTATAAATTGAAAAAGTTTAATTTAATTGTTAGATATGTAAATACATAAGAATTGGGTGGTATGTTTGTAAATGCCCCTAAAATTTGTCATCATCTGAGATATATGTTGATGTCTAAAAGTAATCCCAACAAAGGAAGAAAAATCAATGATGATTTATATGATCATACACTTTAGCATTATTTGGCAAAACATTAATGTTTAAAGTTTTATCATGAAGTAAAGGTTAGGAAAACATTCTAAGAAAAGGATAACATATAGCAAGATCATTTAATGAAGGGAATCTTAGCAATAAAGCATCCACTCTTTATTATCTTTAACAATAATTGTCATATTGCAACATATCTTTTGAACTTTGTAGGAAATAGATTTTGCTTTGGAAAAATACCTTTCATTGAGGATTAAAGCTTTGATGCCTTTAGTCAGATAGAGTAGATAACAAGTACTGAGCGCACGAAACTTCTTTTAATTTTGTTGATCGAGAGATTGTTGTTGCATTACTTTCTTTGAGAGACAAAATGCATTCCCAAAATACTTCTTAAGAAAATTTCGTTGCTTATTTAATGTCACAATTTGTTGCTCATTGATCTCCTTCAATTTAATTTGATTAGGGGTGGATAAATATGTGGGTTGCCAAGTGAAGCTGCTAGTCAGGTTCAGATCTAACATGAAATTAACCCGACTTGAAACTACTTGACCATAACCTAACTCAATAAATGACTCACAAAGTAAAACCCTAATCTAACTTGCTCACCATAACATATTTAATATATGTATAATTGTTATTCATGTCAAGTTCACGTCAATGTTTGGTTAATTTCGAGTTAATTGTTCAAAATTTGAACAAATTTGAGTTCACGAGTCAATTTTAGGTCGTCATGTCTACCTAAAGCAAGCTCAAAAAAAATAAATGTGTTGAAATTGTTGACCGGAACCCAGACCAAAAATTAATCAGGAAAACCCAAATCCAAATTTTTCGAGTTGAGTTGGCACCACTAATAAATTCTCTTTTGAGTTCACATATTAAAGGATTAAACAATCCATGATTAGACTCAAATGACCTGGGTAACCTTAATTAACTACCTTAACCAATATAGAGAGCTAATCAAACTCGATCAAATCCCTTTGGTCCACTGTCATAACCTACGTTAAGTTAATCTCTGGGCTACACTAACGTGACTAATTAATATACACTACATAAACTTACTTGTCCCAACCATTTGTTTAATAAGCTAGCTTAATCTAGCTCAAATATAGCCTAATTCAATTTATACCTAAGTGGATTTAATGTGGACTTTCTTATACTAATAGTATAATTTAAACCCTAGCAAATCCCTACTGGGTTGGCCTAATCCAACCCTTAAATCAAATTAAAACTCAATTGGTTAGCAAATCTTAATCCTAACTCAGATTATCGCTTAAGTGAGTTCAAATTAACCCAAATAACTCTTAATTACTTAGACCTTAGGCCTTCATAGAACTAAAGTTGATACTTATGTGGTACTAAATTAAATTAGCCCAAGTTTGAGTTTTGTCAACCCATCTTAAGTTAAATACTAATAATTGAGCACTTAAAACCCAATTAACCAAGGTAAGCCTTAAATACACTTGGCCCTTAGATGTTATGAATACTCAAAAGTCTCTTATGGTGTTGGCCTCTCTGCAGTCAACTCAATCCTATATGGCCCTTGGCCTCTTAGGAGTGGGTCTCCTGTTAGTGAACTGGTAAGTTGATCGTGGTCTAGCTGGCTCAATTTTTCCCTATAGTCCTCAATGAGCTCTTATGGATCCTAGCTCACTATGTTCAGTTCGGGGTTCTAATTATAAATTTATTTTCAAACTTGTGGAACCCAAGCTTAAGCTAGGTTGGGGTCCAATATATGGGCAACCAGTTGTGGGGCTTGCTTGACTGAAGTCTTATTCAAAAAAAATAAAAAGTCAAAATCAATCAAAAAACTAAAGTATACCTAATTATAATTTAATGTTGAACTTGAATCAAACTTAAAATTTATTTAAATGAACGTGAACCAAAGTAAAACTAAATTAAATTAACTTAAACAAATGACTGATTAGAATTATACTAAATCTAGTTTAAATTTGAACTAATTTTTAATTTAGAGTAAAATAAAACTAAAAAAAAATCTTAATTTAATAATTATACTTAAAACAAAAATATCCAGTGAAAACGACACTGAATTAGATCAAAATGAGTTAAACCAAATGCTAATGAATCTGAACCTCAGTTCGTCGTAATTCAATATTAGCTTAACATAATACTAAAACTTAAACTTAAACATAACCA